CCCAGAAACGTTCATAGCTCTCACCCAGACCGATTCAGATGGTAACTGTCTACAGTCAGATTTAGAAATAAATTCAAAGATGGGGCTAGGAATGAGCGATTCTATAATAGCTGTCAGATCAAAGGAGAAAAATCTTTGAATTAAATCAAAGAGGAGAACATAAGCAGGAGAACAAGAAGACAAAAGGTGTGTTTGAAAAGGGTGAGGGACACTTCCAACTCATGAGGATTTGGGTTGGCGGCACTGTGGGCATCCAGTTGCCCTAATAATTTCTGAGAAACCTCTTCATGTCTGTTTCTCAACGCCCTCCCAGAAAGGAGCCAAATGAATAATGAAATAGTAATATGCTGTATGTATAATAGCATCCATTATGTCGCTTCATCACAGACCAGCAGCTACTGCTATTCCCGTTGACAGGACTGATACTGAGCACCCCGGGTGTTTGTCTTGCCCAGAATGACACAGCTCATTAGTGCTGCACACAGCTCGGTCAAAGACATTGTTTCCTGACTCACAATCCAATGCTTCCTCTCTAAGAGATGCCGCTGGCTTTCTAGAATCCCTGGAGCCTAGAACCTTCTTGTTACATCCATCTTTCACCTTTAAGTAGGCCCCAGAAACCTCTTGAGTGACTCACTACTTCTTGTTACCAAATAAATTACTCTTTTCAGTAAACTTGCAGAATGGTTGAATTAGGGGTTCCTTTGTGGAAAATTGGGATATGTCAAAACTAAGAGGTGGTCAGAATCATATAGGACATGTACCAACCTGTTGAAAGGGTCTGGTGAAGTTGAGGTCCACGGTGGATCTGGTCAGTCATTCTAATCAAACTCAGTGAGGGCTTAGCTCTTCCAGCAGTGAAGGCCATATAATATCAGCTCTTAGTTAGGTTAACTTGGAGATACTAAACTCTCTTGCAAGTATCTTGGATTTACCTCTCATTGTGCGATCAACTTCTCATGTGGAAAAAAAAAAACCTAATCCAATGATAGCTAATCCACCATTATGAACATTTGACTTTCGAATTCAGAGGGGGACTCTCTGGTATATTATTCATGTATCCCCATGTATCCTCCAGGGATAACCTTCCCCACTCCCAGCTAGCTGCTATATCTGTGGCCTAGGACCCAACAATTGAAAGTTGCCTATATTGAACTGTATCAGTACAGAGTAGTTGCTGGGATCCACTAGAAGCCAAATGTTTGACTTAGCTAGCTCATACTGCTATAACAGACCTGTGGCTTAAACAACAGAAATTCATTTCTCACAGCTCTGCAAGCTGGGAAGTCCGAGATCACGGTGCCGGTGTGGTCAGGTTCTGGTGGGAGTTTTCTTCTTGGTTTACAGATGGCCACCTCCTTGCTGTGACCTTACATGGCAGGTGGAGAGAGATCTCTCGAGTGTCTCTTCTTAGAAGGGCACTAATCCCATTCATAAGGGTTCAACCCTCATGACCTAATTACCTCCCAAAGGCCCCACCTCCAAATACATTGAGATTTAGGCTTCCCCGTTTGGATTGAGGTGGGGGAGGACACAAACATTCAGTTCATGGCATCATAATATGCAAGTAACTTGAGCGTGTGCTCAGGAACTAGTGTGTTGATCTCAAATACTTCCCTACATTAGAAGAAAGAAAAAATGCACAAGGATTCACCCTGTGGCATCTGCTCAGACTTTAGAGATGAGGTATAATTCCTGTAATGTCCTGAGGGTTCCACTGGGGAAAACCAGCATATGATTTCTGTTGGGAGCACGCACGGAGTTTGACCTTGTAAAACATACTGTTGTTGCACCACGGGGGCTGCAACCTGGCTGTGCTCTCCACAATAATCCTGCTTTGTTTTCTTGGGGTGGAGGGAGGAACAGGCAGAACCGTCAAACATGCTTGAAATTGATTCTAAGTAGTATTGTTAAATACACCAGGATTGCTGGGAAATAGGTGTGAGTTGCTCTACTTTAGATGCAAAGAATAAATGCAGTGGGTCTCAACAGCTAGAATAGTAATTATGTCATCTGTCTTGTCGCAGAGTTTGACTATAGTAATTGCAACATTTTCTCCCATCATTGAGGCTTGTAATTATAGTGCAACTAACAGGATTATGTGCTAACTTGGGCTGTTTTAATCACCTCTTTTACTCTGAAATGCAATGGTAAAATTCCACAGTTGCTCCCAGGCTGCCAATTCTTTTCAACATCTGTTGTCTTCTAACAGTTCAATACTAAGGAGCAGAGGCAGAGAGGCTCTGGGCATTTCATAACAGAGGTCTTTAGCTAAAGCAGACTTTAGGCTTGATGAGAAAGCGTAAACAGCAAGGGAGTTTTAAATTTCCAACCCAAATAAAATTTTCTCTTTGAAAGCAAATCATATGTTTTTTGTTTTCAAGATGGCAGATGTTTTCTGCAATTTGGCAAAGCCTGCAGCCCATATTTTATATGTGTGGAAGGAAACTTGCAACTATAAAAATCAATCTAGGACTGATTAAGAAAAACCTCCCACGCAACCTAACAAGCAGGTTTGGGTTAAGTAATGCCTGGATCTTAAGTTGTGTGTCGGGACATCACCTTTCATGTGTAAGACTCATTAAGATGTTCATTACTTATATTTATCTTTACAGGTCACATAACAACAAACTTCAGGGGTTATCCAAATACTCTGTTTATGTAGGAAATAAAGGAACATCGCACACTCTGTGAAATAAGGGGGCTGACGGCTGAGCTGGAAACCTCCCTTGATTCTTTGATTGTAGGATGACTTACGCACTCTTCGAGTGTTGTTTCAACAAAACGAGGGCATCTAGGATATAAATGTTGCATGGAACCAACCCAGATCTGCCCATTTGGTCTTAAATTGGGCTCTTATTACTTGGCACCATTAGGTATTCATTCCTGTTGTACAGGTGCCCAGACAGGACTCCGCCATCCAGAGGACTGTCGTTCTAACTCAGCAAGCGCATCTGTGATCCTAAAACCAGCAGCAAAAGGAGGCAATCGAAGAACAGCCTGTTTTCCTGAAAGAAAAATTGTGGAACCAAGTGCAGTATCACCTTTAGAGGTGATAGAAAATTCCCTAGATTAGGTCTGCTGAAAACTAGCAAGGCCAGACTCAAACAGCTTAGTTGTTCGGGTGTTAACAGATTCAGAGCTGTGTGGGCAGCAGAGACACGGATGGGAGGCAGGAACAGCCCAACCCCATCTCTCCTTCACCCAGCCGTGCTACAAAGCCTCATTGTTTTTTGAAATTGAACTATAGCTGACATACAGTGTTATATTAGTTTCAGGTGTGAAACAGGGTTTCCACAATTCTGTACATTACAAAATACAATTAAGTGTAGTTACCATCTGTCACTATACGGTGTTGTTAAAATACTATTTGACTATATTCCCTACATTTGGTTTACTTTTCATCCCTGTGACTGTCTTATAACTGGAGGTTGGCACCTCCAGAGCTACATTTTTGGGGCCCCTTCTTCCAATGCCTTAGTCTGACATACTGGTCACTGTGCAGGAGCCCCCAGTGTGGCGCCCCCTTGTGGTCGCTCTCAGGAAATGGAGCTATTCAAATCCACCCACGAAGGATGTTAAGCATCTGAACGTGTGGCCCACGGGAAGGGTCACACTGCAATTACAATTTAGCAAGCTAACTTTGGGCCAGCTGGATCGTGTCAAAAGGTAAACCGAGGTATATTAAAGTTTTTCTTTTCTTTTTTTTAAGATTTATTTAGTTATTTGAGAGGGAGAAGAAGAAGCAGGCTCCCGATTGAGCAGAAAGCCCAACTCGGGGCTTGATCCCAGGACCCTGAGATCTTGACCTGAGCTGAAGGCAGATGCTTAACGGACTGGGTCACCCAGGCGCTGCGAGCTTGACTCATCTGCTTAACCTCTAGTTTTATTGGCGGGGCGGCGGGGGGATTTCTTATACATCTCTACCAGAATTATTTGTAGGATTCCAGCCACTGCTAAATCAGATAGGTCTGGGCTGGAAATCAGAAGAAGAATTTCTTGAAAATTTTGGAAGATAGGTCAGTCTTTAAAACCTGGAGGGAATGTGTGTGGCTTGTATACACTGGAGGCTCTAAGACATTTTTTCATTCGTTTGTGGGACGTTTCTAACATTCTAGGGAAGATTTAGACTTTGGATGTACCGAAAGGATCTCATTTGACTGCTGTATACTTATCCCCTCCTGTAGCTTCTAATAAGCCTTTGCAGATGGAACCACCTAATTGGCAGGATGCATTAATGCACAGGCCATTCATTTGCTGGGCACATGACCCAGACCCCAGGTGAAAGGAGCTGGTAACTTCATCTTCCTATTAGGGAAGGCGTCTCGGCCCTCTGCCGGCTCCCGCCCAGCTCCTCCTCTAGAACCCCTGGGCTTGAATGAGGGGGATAGTTCAGGGCACCACCACCACGTATCCACAGGCTTCAGGTAAGACTGGAAGGAAAACAGAGGGGAAGGAGATTTCTGGTCAGGAGCAACTCCCTGCACAGGGGAGTGGCCATTGTGAGTTAAGACACATGCTGAGAGTACGTAGCTCATGTATGTAATCTATATAATATGCTAATAATGTGTGTTCTCTTGGGGAGAATGAAGTGTCTCTCCGTGCTGGTCATGAGAGTGGATTGCAATCAAACAATTAATAACAATAATAAACACAATCACACTGGTTTGGCCTGGCCCAGTGCTCCGCTTTATTCATCTAGACATGGTTTAGCAAAGTAATTGTGAAGCTACTGGCCTGGAGCCTCCCCTCATCACTCAGCTGAGAGGAGAACAAGGATGTCTGGACCTTCTCATTCCTCTCTGGAGGTTGCTCTGGCACCCCTGGGCCAGACCTCTTTCCACCCAGGCATGTTTCAAACCCTGTCTCCTTGGGTTTGCACAGACCCTCTCTCCAGGCTGGGAATGGCCTTACCCTTGGCCGTGTCCACACGGACACCTCTGCGCTGGACCCACAGGGAACTGGCTTTTAACCCAGCACCTGTGCTGTGTCTCCTGCAGGTCTCCCAGGCAGCCGCGGATCTCCTGGCCTACTGTGAAGCCCACGTGCGTGAAGACCCTCTCATCATACCAGTGCCTGCATCCGAAAACCCCTTCCGAGAGAAGAAGTTCTTCTGTACCATCCTCTGACTCCGTTGGTGACGACGTGGCTCTTTTTTCTGTCCATAATTCCCTGGCAGAGACCGCATGCTCTTAGCCGTAGGGAGTCCCAGCCAGCCCCGCCCTCCCCAACCGGGATGACCAGGGCCCGCCTTCCTCCGCTGGTTTTCTTAGTTGCATTCCATTTCACGCCTTCTTTTCATTCTCATGGTATTTCCATCACTGGCAAAGCAAATAGACATTCTCGTAGCCAAATAACACACGTGCCAAGTAAAAATAAGTATGGGGTTTAAGGTTTAAGTTTTGAAAGCATCGATTCCCATCTTCAGGACATCGAGCTCATACATTTCAGTGGCAAATTTATGGGAAAGGAAAACTGTACATCCCTCCCTCCCCCCATTCCCAATAATTCAGTAGCAAATTAGAGCATTTGGACCCACGGAGATATGTGGATCACGTTTTCATCTGGAAGTTCTCTATCTCCTGCTTTTCCATCATCCTGTTAGAAAGGAAATAACCCACAGCATCAGACGGCTTTCCCAATGTGTGTCTTCTCTGTGGCCTTGGGGCCCAGACCCCGGTGAGGACACAGCTCCCTGTTTCCCACTGATTACCCTCGACCGCTTTGGAGAGAGTCCTTCTACAGATGTCGATGTTGGGGGAATACTGTAGCAAGCTTCACTGTCCATGCACACCATGGTAGCTGTCTGTGCGCTCCGGCCGTGCCAGCCAAGGGCACCGTCCCCCCTCCATATGCCCCGTCTTCCTGCTTCTCCTTCTCTGACTCCTCCGTAGTTCTATCCTGGGTGCACTAGTAGGGACCTGTTGGGGCACAGCACGGCACCCCGTGGGGTGTCACCAGAGTGGTTCTTGCCCCAGAGGAGCGAGCCACAGGGCAGCAGCTCCCTCTGCACCACCCATGATCTGAGCATTGACCGTGTTCACTTATTTAATGCCCCAGCAATTAATAAATGCCACAAGAGTAGCTCTGTCTCTGTTTTAAAGAGAGGAAAACTGAGGGGCGCCCGGGTGGCTCAGTGGGTGAAGCGCCGACTCTTGATTTCGGCTCATGTCGTGATCTCAGAGTCCGTGTCGGACTCCGTGCTCGGCGGGGAGGCTGCTTGAGAGTCTCCCTCTCCCTCTTCCGCTCGCTCGTTCTCTCTCTCTCTCTAGTATAAATAAGTGCAGCACACTTCTCTCCTCATCTTTGCCAGGAGAAGGCACGTTGGGCCTAAATAGCTTGTGGAAAACAATAAGACAGATACGTGGATGCCCCAGTGGAAGACTAGACAGCCCTTGGGTTTTCTGAGACCAATGTGCACACCGCGCCTAAAACAAAAATGACGAAAGAGAGTAAACCACGGGGGCAGAGGGCTCCCTGTCCAAGTTTGCGCCCTTCTGTTGGCGTCCTCCCTGCCTCTCTCAGCAGCTAGCTACGTGATATGGGACAAGCCACTGTGGGCCTGGAATGTTCTAACCTGCTAATTGGGGATAATGGTAATTACTCCTCCCGCCTTTCTCTCTGGGAGGCCCCAGAGAGGTGCTACATAGATGGAAGCTCTGATTATCATTTAAAATAAATTGCTAAAAGCTCCAATATAACACTGGCAGGAATGCATGCCTTCAAAGACACCGTGGTTGGAGGACTCATGTAAAATTGCCTACAAGGAGCCAAATATAATTTCAGGTCAATTAATAACTTGCCACCTTGCAAATGGTTTTAGTGCATTTTTATTCTCTGCCTCTTTCGTTGGAAGCGATTCTTCACCTCATTAAAGCTCACAGGCCTCACCAGTGAGGTTAGGAAGCTGTGTACCGTAACGAGAGCAGAACTGTGTGGCTGTGTGTGATCGTCAGACTCAAACCCTTCCCCGTCTCAGTTCATGACCCGGAGCCCTTTCTTCTGTGGTCCATGTCAACATCATTAACCTGATTAAGCAAAGCACAATTCGTAAAAGCACACCAGAGAAGCCGAGGAAGTGGGACAGCACGGAAGCTGGCTCAGTCAGGTCAGGACGAAACGGTGCTTCTCGCCTTCCTCCAGACTTTCTCTCCTGTTTTCCCTTTTCTTGTCCCTCCCTGCCCCGTCCCTCGCTTTTTCCTTTCCCCTTCTCTCCCTTACCTTCCTCTGTGAGATGCTTTTTCATCTTTGTGGTTTGCCCCTTCTAAAGTGTCCCTGAACTCAATGCCCTCTTCCTAAAGGCAAGGTCATGCACTTGGGCTCCAAGATACCCAGACAGGTAGATGAGCCCCTCGCCCTGCTAGCCACTCACCTGGAGGTGAACCAAAGTGGGTGCACCCGCCGTGGACTGTTGTCACTTTGTGTTCGCAGTTTGACTGTCCGGCCTCTGACCCCCCCTTCCTACGGGGAGGGAATCATCCCTTACATGTACATTTAGTGGGATGCAATAGTACTCCCTTTCACTGTGGATGCTGAAAGGGGGAGGTCTTCCCTGTCTCTCAGGTGTACCCCCTTTCCGGCACCAGGCCGGTCAGGGAGGGGCCAGTGGCCTGATGTGAACTGCCTGGACTCCTTGGCCTGGACCTATGAGCTTGGAGCAAGTGGCCCAGAAATGAGAAGATGCTAAGATTGGTTTGATGGGAGGTGCGGTGGTCCAGGGACTGCACTGGCCCAGAAGGAGAGGCATCTAAGCCTGGCAGGCTGCAGGGATTCTGTGCCCATGGCTAACAATGACCCAGGATGGCAGAGTGCTGAGTAGACCATTCCCGGTCCATCCCCCGGCCCCACTAACTGTCTTGCCCCACCCCCCACATCCTCCTAGGTCTCTTTCTTTCTAGCTTTCTGTCAATTCTTTGAGCCTCCAAGCTCAATCCAGTAAATTTCTTATTCCATGAAATAGCCTGGGTTGGATGTACATATCATATGATCTTAAAGTGCATACTTTACAGAAATGTGTATATGTGTTCACCAAGAGAAAAGTACTAGAGTGTTCATAAAAGCGCTATTTGGAATAACCCAAAGCCGGAAAGCACTCCAATGCCCACGTTGAATGGATAAACGAATTCTGGTGTATTCACACAGTGAAATCCTGGGCAGCAGTGGGAATAATGATCCTGCAGCTCGACCCCACAGCATGGTGTGAGGCTCACGACACTGGGCAAGTTCATACTACGTGATTCCCTTTATGTCAAGGGCAAAACTCAGCTAAGCTAACCCATGCTGTCGCAAGTAGGGAGTATCAGTTACTCTTTGGAGGATGGGAACCAGAAGGGGCACAACGGGAGCTTCTAGAATGTTCTGTGTGTTGATCTGGTTGCTGGTTACCTGGGTGTGTCCAGTTTGTGAAAATTCTTGGAGCTGTCCACTTTGGATTGTGTACTTTTCTGTATATATGTTATACTTCAATAAAAGTTGGTTTGTGTGGCTAGCAATCAAGAATCCTGATTTTTTTTCTTTTGGGGGACACTTAGCTCAATTTTTTACTCCTCTTTAGGGAGAACATCATTAATGGGGCAATTAAGAGTGTATTTGACAACATTTTGAAATTTGAAATACTTCTAATCCACAGCTATCTGAACAGAGAATCAGCTTTCAGCAGAATGCAGGCAGATCCCTGGGAACGGGATTTGGGAGTGCCATGCTGTGGGATCTGTGTCTTTTGGGAAAACAGTGAGCAGTCCTGCTGGGATTTCCCACTTGGATCAGCCTCTCTGTAAATGAGGCAGGTGACCTCTTAGCCTCTCCTGCCTCCTGGCCAGGAGCGAACGGAGGGGGTGGCCGGCCACAAAACCCTATTATCACAGACCACCTGTGAAGGAAGAAACCGCAGCAAAAGCACCAGCTGGCTCCATGCTGGTGCATCTTCTGAATGCAGCCCTGGCCTCTTGGCCACCCAGCCCACGGACACCCGGAGGCAGACATGACTTCTTCAACTACACTCCCACTCCCAGGGACTCGAGGGCCCCTGCCAAGCCTCTGATCCTTCCTGAGGGTCCTGCAGTGCTGTCTCCTTCGCTCTCAGCTACCACGTAGCCACTCTCCTTGCAGAGAGTGAATATGGAATCCCAGGTTGATCACAGAGTAGCTTCACGCTGGGACTCCTGCCACATGAGTCCAAAGGTCTTACGTTTGATTCTGAGCTCCAGCCCCCATGAAACGCCACAGTGAGTCTGTGAATTGTCAGCAGCCTCCCTCCGAGGGAACCACAGGAGGGGAGCAAGCCACAGGTTGAAGGAATTTTGTTCTGATGACTGTTCAAATTTGAGATGAAAATAATAATAACAACAACTACTATTTTGACCTGGAAAGAATATGAACTGTGGAGATAGTTTAGACTCTCTATTTACACTTCCATTTCATTCAGCTCCTCAGGGTGGAGAGAAGACCCCAGATCACAGGTGGCCTTTCTGGAGGACCAGAATGGTGCTCCCTACTCTGTCCCCAGGAGCTTCGTCTCCTGAGCGGCACGCAGCTCAGCCCTCCCCGGGAGTCACAGCCAAGAGCAGCAGTGGGGGACAATAAGCTGGGCATCTGTCCAGTCTGTTTCTGGAGATAAGTGTGCATGAGCCAGTGTCGACTGCCACTGGTCAGAACTGGCCATCCCATCCGGTTTCTGATAAAACCCTTACACTTGATTCTGTGTTAGCTATAAGTCATTTGCTAACTTGTAAAATTTTCAAGCCCACCATACACCGCTGTTATTCTAACCACTTACTTTCAAAGATTCACCATTGACAGAGCGGCCTCCCAGGCCCTGCCTGCTCTGGCCCCCACATATTCCCTAGACTTGCCTTCACACCTCACTCCCCCTCAAAACCCTGTGCTCATCCGCCCCGGCCATTATTTTAGCCTACCTTACTTGCCCCTGTTCCCTGCTGCCACAGGACCTTTGCACCTGCTGCTTCCTCTGCCTAGCACACTCTTCACTCCTCTCTGCCAGGTCTACTTACTTTTTAGATCTCAACTCGAACATCACCGAGGGTTCACGCCTTCCCTGACCTCTCTGACCAGGTCAAGTGTGTTTATAGATTCTTCCTGCACAGTGAAGCTCTCCTTACAATGCTTGTCATTGTTGGAATTTTACATTTGTATATGTGATCACTCAGTTCCCCATTTGTTCCCCCAACTACGCTGTAAACTCCATGAAGGCGAGGCATACTCATACTCAGTATGTATTATCCAAATAAATGCGTGAAAGTCATTGCTGGTCGTTTCTCGACATCAAGCGCTTCTCTGTTGGGATTCTCTGTACGTTACTAACCCCTGAACAAACCCTCAGAAGGCCCTGTGAAGGGAAGGAGGGAGGGAAACCATTATTTGTGGAGTGTTTGCCTCCGCCAAGCACCAAGCAAAGGAGCTCGCCTCTTAATCCTCATAACAATGGTGGTGTAAGATTTAAGACCCTCATTCTGTAGATATGTACTCCTCATATGTATAGGAGGAAGCTAAATCAAATTAAGGAACTTGCCCAAAGCCAGACAAGATCTGTGTGCCTGAATATGATCCCAGTTGGTGCTCCTAACTTTGCATCATACTACTGCCTGGAGTCAAACCAAGAGCCTCCGAGACAAGTCTCTCCTCTCCTCCACCCCATGTTGAAAAAATAAAAGCCACTAGGAAAAGATGACGCGAACTCTTGACTTTACGACAGG